TGAGGGGATTACACTAGAATTCTTTTATTATTAATGTTTCCCTTTTGATTACATCAAATTAAATTGGTAAACTTCCTCACTAAACTGATAGGAAAGTTCTTCAGGACATTTAGGTGAAAGAGTAACTTTGCAATTGTTCACATTCAGTGTCCATGAGTACAGACTAACAGGCTTGGTATCATGCATGTTAATCTCTTACTTCAGAGGTTCATAATTCATAATTCATAATTTTCTGTTATCATTTGTAAACTGTGTTTACAACCCACATCGGTCAGTCTGTACTACTTTATCCCTAGATGGAAGCAGTCCCTTATGTGTTATATAAAATATAGATTCATCTAGCAAGCTAAACATGGACAAACACATTTGATATAGCCAGTTTTGTAACAGCTCTGTTAAGGATGTTAGAGTGAGTTTTTAGGATCTGTGTCTGACACTCTTGCTGATATTACTTAAAAGTGGCCTGTATCCCTGTTATAATAGACACAGGCTATATTTTCCTTCAAAAAGTTTTACAACAAGAATATATATATTTTTTTTTACAAAATACCTTCAAATAACTCACACTGTCATGTGACTTCATCAGGACTTATGCACACTTATTAGGCATTCATAATTTGTTGAACTGTGAGTGTAAGGTCAAAGTTGATATGTTTATGCATTTAGCAGATGCTTTTATCCAAAGGGACTTAAAAAGTAGACACATAGTATATTACCGTTATCATAAGTTCTCTAGAGAAAAATCCCTGGTCAGAATCAGTGGTGACGGCAAAGAGGGAGAAGGAAGTGCAGAAAGAGTAGTAGAGGGGGTATAGAGGTATGAGTAAGAGTTAGGATAGGATGATGCGCGGCTGTATCAGGAAGGAGAGGTGATATCTGAATCAAAACACTGTGATACAAAAAGCCAGCACGGAAGGAAACTAACAATGCTGTCATTACAGCTGATTGCACATAGGGCATAAAAATGCAGGTCCGATGAATATAGTTCATCAGTTTAATGTGCTGCAAAATGGAGTCCTCATGGGGAAAAAACACAGCCTGAAACATGGTGAGTGTTCCATCAAACTGCATTACCACTTTCTTTCCCCTGCTACTGGAAGAGTTGCATGTATCAAAAGAATGATGAAATCTGAGGATTACTGACGTTACGGCATTTTGAGATATCTGAAACCTGGGTTGGAGGTGTATGTCTCAGGTCTTTCAGACTGCAAAAGAAATGACACGTTTAATACTACCAATAGTGACATCTGACCTAAATCATATTGAAAACTTGAAATCAGTCAGTGCTCAAATGTATGTGGGTGAAACACTCAGAAACTACCATCCGAGTGAGGCTTCTAGAGGGGAAGAAGAATTATCTAGAGGTTGTGTATGACATGCATTTTTTTTATAATTAAAGAAATTCTAAAGATGGATATGAATATTAAAACCAGGTGCCTCTGATGTGTTTTCAGAATCAGAAATACTTTAATAATCCCAGAGGAAAATTATTCTAACCTTGCTTTTTTTTGCTATTTGCTTTTCTACACAGCATGGCACAGTTTTGCTTAAAGGTAACGTGTGAACTACCGGGAACTATAGTACACTCCTGCCATAATAGATTAAAGAGAAAAAAACTGAATCCAGATGCAGCAATAAGACATGCTATGTGTCATTTTCTTTGCTCTTCTTTTGAAAGTTAAATTCATGACAAGACGTGACCCATGACCATCTAAAATGTGTGGGCTGTAAATCAGACAATGTTGAGTACTAGTTATTTTCTATGATAAATTTAAGACATGTTTCATGTTTCATGTTTCAACAAGTATTTTCAGCCAATCTATTACTGGTAAGCATGCAGTTTTGTGCTTCTCATTCTATTCTACATACTTTCCTCGTTTTTATATTCAATTTTACATGTAACTTCTCAAGGTGCTCTCAACATCTAGAGCAGGACAACTAATTTATGTGTGTATCTGTGCAGTTGTAGTCCACGCAGTTCTATTTTTACAACAGATATTAATATCCAACAGCTCTAGTGAATTTAGTTTGTCAGAAATTTGGCAAATTATCCACTGATACTTTGATACATTTAGAATAATTTTGCGGGAGATATAAAGACTTTTGAATATCACCGTGAATCTTCAACTTTTTACCAAGGCTTTGAAAAAGGTTGCCAATAAAACTGGCCAGCACCATAGTGATGAAATAAGTTTGTTGACATCCTGTATACACGATGTAGAAGGGAAATGACTTCATTGTGACTTTTGTACAAGGCTCCTTATTACCATTTCTACTATTGTATACTTGGATTAAAAAAATAACCCATGTTTTGGAATATAATAATTTTAGAGACAAAAATAGACTTTTTGGGTAATTGCAACAGAAATCCAAAGTACAGAAATCCAGCTATAATTTATGTTTTCAGTGGGCAAAACAATTAACCCTGCTTTGCTGTTACATATTCATCATCTTGTTACTGATGAGGCCTACTCATCCACGGCTGAATGCAGCCTTAAGAGAGACACGCCCACACAGACAACGCATGGGTTGTAGCAGAGTATAAAAACATTTATCCTCCATGGCCGTGTCACTTAAAATAGAATTATTCCAAGTTGGTGTTTTTATTTATTTAAAGGAACTTAAAAAATCCAAAGAATAGGCCCTACTCCTTTTTCTCACCTTCCTTGTAATGAATGGATTCCAAGGAAGATGTTACAAGTGTAAGTCTTCTTGACAGACGCTTCAAGCAGAAATCCTGATTAACTGATTCACTGCTTTTCAGAAAAGATGTATGAATCTGATAACCATGCTTGATAATAGATTATGTACTCATATTATTAAAAAGATCAATAATGCTTTTAACTTAAAATACTTTGTTGACATGAAGGATAAATCTGTAATAAGGAGATAAAAGGATTAAGACTGAAGCAGTCACTTCTTTCAGTTTTCAGCTTTTTCCAGCTCGCTGCATCATGGAAAAGCTGAGTCTGCTAAGTTTCAAATTAGTAAACAGAAAACAATCTATATTTCATAGATTACTGCAATATTGTTGTAGTAGTAGACTACTTTTATTTTCATATAGATTACTACTTTCACAGACCCATTGAATTTAACTAAACTGAAACTAACAAATAACTCATTCTCAGCCATCTCTGCATGAACAGCAACACAGCTTGATCATGATCTTCTCATTTTTTTAAACTTTAGTTCGCCATGAATGTAAACCTTGGTCTCCAATCCTGACTCCTGAAATAGGTGAATCATGATAGGAGAAATATAGGCAACAGACACAGATATTAAAAATATTAAGTAAGCTTTCAGAATAAAAGTGAAGGCTGATGAAACCAGGGTATAGCTAACTTTCAACTTCTGGAACTTTCAAATATTTTAATCCCTGTCAATCCCCTTTTCAGCAGTCATGATGGTGGCTGACATGGCTGCCCTCTGGAAAAGCCTGCCATTAGTTTGACAGAGAGACTTTGAAATCTAACATTTCTGTAGGTGTTGTGGTGCCGTTATCGAATGGAAACAGTTGCTAAACTACTCCTGGTATTATAAAGTCTTGCTTGTTATGTGATGTTTTATTTGTTTTTTTCTATTCCCCCAACAACCTGTGTCCCTATAAACGATTGTATATTAGGTAATCTAGATTTTGTAAGTATTTATCAAATCTGAATTGGACTATCATACAAATAGTCTGTTAACCTAGACAAGTGGCTGAAGGTTAACCTTATTGATGCAGGTTGTAAAATATCCATTCACTGACAGACTCTTAAACTTCATTGTGTGAATAATTACCTAACATATTTGCCATGAGACTTTAAAATAGACTGTGTCAAGTGTGATGCCTACGCAACTAATTTCTTAAAAGTTTTTTCACTAGTGGAAACAGTGAAACATTCTGACCCCCTAAACATATGTCAGAAAAGCTGATTAAGCAGTTATACTCTGGTTAATAGAAAAGTATAGAGATAAAATACATCTGATGTTCTTAAAAGTCAATATATGCATTGAATGTGGGTTTAATGTTAGGAATAAACCAATGGGAATTACAATTAAATGTTTTTCAGCATTAACCTATGATCATGAATATTATATTCCTATTATATTATATTATACTTAACATAAAAATGATAAGTCCTCTAGTTGACAGACTGGGGAAAAAACTTGCATAATGGGGAATTTGTGTAGGGTTGACTGTTTTAGGGTTGAGGTGGAAGATGTGTGTATGCAAAAGCGAGAGTTTTCTAGGCAAGTTGCTGCTGTGTTTGGGGACAATTCAAAATGATGAATGATTTAATTTCGCATTTTGTTCTGCCCTTTGAACATTTATATTCTGAAGAGAATCCAGAAGCAGCTTTGTGCATTGATGTTACCCAAGCAACGAATGGCATTAAAGTAGTTGCAGGGAAAATGTAACATTTCAGGTAATTGCTATGATTTGTTTTAAATGATACTTCAGTCATATTGCTGTTTTAATTTGCCAAAGGCAATAGCCAGTGAAACAGAGCAAAGTACAAACATGTCTCATCTTTGCTGGTCAAATGCTTTCTCTTTTCTTATTGGTTTGGCTAAAGCTAGCATCACCAAAGAAATAAGAGGTTAAAGTGCTGCAGATTGTAATCATGCTGTCCTCTTTATTCTAGAGCACCCAAATACTTTTAGAGATGCAACAGGAAGAAAAACACAAACACAGACACTTAAACACGCTCAGTGGATACAAAAAGAGTTGTGGCCAAAGCTATTTTGCTCAGCCCTCTCTAAAAAAGCAGCTTGTGTTGACACACGCTGGGTTCTGCTCCCCTGTGACCACTAGAATCGCTCTGCTTATTGTCAACCCTCTGTTGTAAACAGCCTAAACATGTATGCACTTGCCTGTTTTATCATGCTTTAGATTTGGGGAAAAGATTAAATCTGGATTCTGATGCTCCAGCACCAAAATGGTTCTTGTATAAACACTTGAGATGTTTGGTTTCCCTCTTTGTCACATCCTCATGAAATCTTTTCTTCTTCATCAGACATCCGAGGTTTGCAATCCTTCATGGACCAGGCCTCTCGGCTTGGTCTCGACGTTTCCTTGCAGAGGGTGGACCGCAATATCAGTCGAGTATTTACTGACCTCTTCAACACTATGCGCACAGAGGAGCTGAACCGGTACCGGGACACTTTACGGCGGGCTGTGTTACTAATGAGCCCTCGAGGTGCACAAGTTTTCATCCACCAGGTAAGCTAAATGTGTCTGCCTTTGGATTATCAGAAGTACAAGCAGAGAGTCAAAGAGCAATAAAGAAAACAAACATTTATGAAGCTAAAGTTTATTACATCGTCTCAACTGTAGAAAATGAAAAAATCTAGTAGAATAAGGCCAGTAAAGCTGCTAAATTCCCTTTTTTATTGGGTGTTTTCTACTACTATTGAACCAGTGATATTGTCCAGTAACCTCACTTCAAATCTGGCAAATTCCAAAGCAGATGGCAGATGTGAGACTGAGATTGAAGGTTTCATCTTCAATTGACTTCTGCTTTATAAAAGAAATTAGGGTTTGCCAGAGCTATTACATTTTGAGCTTTGACCAGCAATACCTACATTTTTACCTCGGAAATGATTGGTTACCCCTTGTCACAGCAAAGAAAACAAGTCTAAATACATTTTTTACATTAATTTGCAATTTTTTTAATAATAGTATCACATATTTTCCTCCCAAATCTTAAATGTCCAACCATCTCTTAATTTGCTAAGCATACTTATTCTAGGTGTGGTCACCTGTCGAGCTGGGGCTTTTTCCATTTGTCAATGGGTGAGAGCTGGGGTATGTCCTGTGGAGGCCACCAGTCCATCACAGGGCGAGATTGAGAGTTGCATTTTAGAAAGTGTTGGAAAGTTCCAGTGTTTTTTTCCTACGTCAAGTATGATTGGCTTTTTAATCACCGTGGTATCCTGTTGAATAATCACTGTGGTGTGGCTTAGGCAGTTTTTTAAAACACATAATTAGCTAAGCAGTTTTACATGAACTGAATAGAATGTAATTTCAATGCTGCAATTTGTCCTCGTTTCTTAAATTTTCACAGTCATTCATTTATTAAATTATGCATTTATGATAAGAAAAAGAATCTCGTAGGATTGCTAGACAGAAATATAGAATCCAACTGCTTATTTGTACAATATTTTCATGTACACCTTTTACTATATGTAACACACGCATGAACCATTTACATGTTTATATCTCAAAGATAATTTACTCTCAACTAATTTATCTGATTATTATCAGTCTTCTGCTGCAGCTAATGTCTTTCTGTTGTGAGCAGACAAAGCCTAAACTGACAGTAGTGCCATAAACATTACTTGTATTTCAATTAGTTTCTTGTGAATGCTCTCGTATTAATCTAAAAGTTAAGTACTCACTGACAAAAGAATTAGCACAGGTTGTGAATACATCAAGGCTTTTAAGTCTCATTAATAAGATATTACTTTGATCTTTCCTAAGCGTGAATTAATTACATTTTCATACACAAAGATCTTTTCATCACATCAGTTTGCATTTAATCCAGACAATATTATTCCCTGTCATCCCTTAAACAATTACCATGGGGCATTTTAGGGACTAAGATACAAATACAACTTCACATTCAGCCTAGCTTCCAAAAACCACTGTGAATATCTTAATGTATTAGAAATGGTGGAGATTTATAAATTCATAAAAGTTTCATTAATACCTCGGTATCTCACAGTTCATACCAGCATTGCACCACACGTGCAGAGAAAGAAAATGCTAATATCCTGATATTTGAGTGGAGAATGATGAAGCCTGGAGAAGTTGTTAATCATGAAGTGCTGATCAGACATCAATTTATTGGCAAAGTAATTAATTTAGTTAAAAACTAAGTGAAAATAAATATTATTAAACATTTTAGTGATTTATGCAACACATTAAACACATTCTGGTGTCGGTATTGTAGTTGTAACTGTGGAATTGGCCAGTTGGCAGCACAGTAATGGTGATTAATCTATTGTGCCTGTCGTGTATTATGCTGCTCCCTGAATTGGTCATATTTGTGTTTCAGAATTAGTTCTGCACAATTGTTTTTCTTTTGTTTCATCTGCTCTATTGTACAATATTCCATGATTATTGATGTTCAGTGGGCATTGTTGAATTACTTATTAGAACTATAAGGACAGACAGAAAATTATCACAAAAGACACAAAAGAACAACAAAGAAAAAGCTTAGAACTCCCAAGAGAATGTATAAACATCAGATAAATGAAATGACAACAAAGAGATTCAAAAACTATTTTAAACCCACTATAGACACCGAAAATAAAAGAAAATGAAGAGATCACAAAGATGAAAATGATAAGACACTGAGGATAATTAAAAACCTGAGGTGGTTTGTCCATTAAAGTAAATTAAAACAGTTTAAAAAAGAAAATCAGTAAAAAGGATTCAACCACAAAAATAGGAAGAGTTTAACAATCACATATCAGTCTTTAACTTGTTTTCATGAAATCAAGCTTATTGAAACTGCTTTGTTTGTCCAAACCTATCTGGACATAGACATAAAAACAGCTTTTTTTTAATTGGGAAAGGTGAGGCCATTTCAACAAACTTAAGGCAAGGGTTAATTGTTCGATATTTCAAGCATGCACATTTTTCAAAATCTTTTGTATTCTATAAGTCAAATATTCTTAAAGTGATGTGAAGCTAAAAATAATTTTGATAGTCTCATGTCAATTGATCCATCGATCCATCCATTTACCTCTACCTATTCGAGGTTGGGTCACATTGCGAAAAGGTTTAGGAGGTAAACATAGACAACCTTCTCCCAACTGACACTCTACTGGGGGATCCTAAGCTGTCCCCAGGAGAGCAAGGATATAAAATGCCTCAATCGAGTCAACCCCTGCCTATTTCCACCATGGTAAAAGACAAGAATACCCCCAAGTTTTCCATCCTCTGCCCCCCATTGGAGGACGATGCCAACCCTCATCCCCAAAAATTCTCCCGAAGATGTGAGTTGAAGCTCACACAGTGGCCTTCACCAGAAGCTTCCGGTTCACCGTAAATACTTGTTTGGGCTCACTAGCAATATCAACAGCAAAGTCCAGTTCTTCTCCATGTTAGCATGTTTTAGACGTAAAGCCTGTCCACACAGAAATAAACAGTATAATATAACAAAAATAGATTCATACTTTTACCATTTCAAATGAACATTTAGCCATGCAAGCTTACTGGAGTGTTTAAATCCCTGTCAGATCCCGTAAGGTATCGCAGGTGAAATGTTTGTGTTCATAAATTCTGTCGCTCTTTTTGGGGCATGTTGGCCCTCCATAAGGTTTTTTTTGTGAGAAAAAACAAAGGGCGGTCGTTGCTGATGTGCTGGCTCAGCGGGGCAGTTGATGGATGGAGCTCAGAGGCTGGGTGAGGTATGCCTCTTGTGCTGCAGCTATAGCAAGCTACACGAATGACAAGCACTTCTGCACCCTGCCAAGTGATGTGAGAGTGAGATAGAGATGCTGTGCAGTGTGGCATTGGGGTTAAAAAGGCATGACATGAACAGAGACAGAGGGCTTGGATGAGAAGAGTCAAAAAAGATAAGCGGGGACCAGTGGAGATGGATGTAGAGAGGAGAGGTCAAAAATGAGAAAAAGGGGGAGCTTTGGAGGCTTTACCAACATTAGAAAGAATCTTTCTTTTTTTAGAGTAACAAATATAATCCAACTGAAGACAAAAGAGGAGAGTTCTGAGAATCTGAGAGTAATATCTGATAAACAAAACAACAGCTGTTAGAGATGTTAGAAAAAAGATGGGCACTTTAAAGAGAGATGGATTAACAGACCATTGGAAAGATTTAGTGGGCCTGATAAATAAATGTGAATTCATCCATGTGTGAATGTGTCTGATGGAAGATGAACTAACAAGTGGACTATAACTATGAAATGTAATACAATGCATGTGAACAGATACATGTGGTTTTAAGTTTAAAACCAGTTGTATAGAGTGTTGTTCCTTACCAAATTTGGAAAGTAAAAAAAAAAAACTTAATGGAAATTCTCCACAAAACACACTCGCCCCATATTTTTATTTACATGACTCATACTGAGGACTATAGGAGCAAAATTAAATATTTGAAATATTGCCAACAGCAAAAATTGAATCTCCTATCTTTAGTATTAAGTTTGGCTTCCACTTTGCAGTGTGTCAATTGAGGGAATGCCCCTGACACATCAAACAAAAAAGATGTTTCAAACAGACTCCATGTTTCAGTTACCTACATTTGCACAGTCTTTTCCCACTCTGTTAGCTGTGTTGGATTCATAATTAGTTCATTTTATAATTTGTTGGAATGCCTTCTTTGCAGCACTTGTGATATGTTGCCTGGTAAGATGTTGAAATTGACTTTTTCTATACTTTCTATATGTGTGCTAGTGTATGGGTTTCTTTAAAACTGCTTGTTACAATATTTGCTTTTTCACCTTAAATGAAAGCTGTATAAAAAGTAAACACGGCATTCTGGGTGAGTAGAGCTCTTTGTGAATTGCCTAATGATTGAAGACATGTAGTTTGTGACCTTCAACTGAAGATTACTGAATGTCTCTCTTGCCCTCTGTTTGGTTGTAACTGCTTTTAGAACATGTTGTCAACATCAGAATATTAATTTATAAATATATGAGCTTACAGAAATGCCTCCTTTTTGTATTTTCTTTCCAAAACCCTGTTTTTATATGGTTTCAGAAAAAAACTATTGAGAGCTCAAGCTGTTTAGAGCTCAAACTTGCTTTATAGTTGATATGATTTAGTCAAGAAATATTTTTTGTCTACACTTCAGTTTTGAAAAAAATTCTAACACTGAGAAAAAGTGTTCCCTCTGCTGTTTGAATGACAAGAAAAACATTAAAGGACTTTGAGGACATATGTTCCTAGTTGAAGTACATGGCATCTGAAATTGGAAACACATTCACTTGTCAAGATTTGAGCTGATGTGTTGCTCATTAAAAACTGACCCTTCTGACAGTGTGAGACGCAATAAAGACATTTGTCTACGGTATGAATTGTGTTTCGATGACAGAGTTCTCTTCGATCTTATTGTCACAAACACTCGGAACAATGATTTAAACGTGGGTAAGCTGACATGCCATTACAGGGCATATTGGAAAAAGATGGCCGTAATGGTCTCTCTTGCTAAGGGAATTCATTGCCTTTGTCATGACAGCTTCAGGGACAGAGCA